GCAGGTGAAGTCCGCTCGGCGCGGGGTTTCAAACCCGGGGAAGGACACCCTGCCCACAGCGGGAGCCAGAGAAGGCAAGCTGCCTCCGGAACAGCGCTGAGGGCAGTGCAGCACAGCAACCCGAGTTCAGCCACAAACCAGCCTGAGCCCGAGCGTGGCACCCGCAAGCAGGCCTCCCAAAGCCTGACAGCACACCGCTTCACCCCATCCCTCAGTCTGGTTTGTTTTAAACCCTCAAGATATTTCAGACATAGAACAAGTCCTTAAAAATCACCAGGAAAGACAAGGCCATGGCTATCCACTGGAGGTGCCTGCTGCGGCCCATGGCCTTCAGCCGCAGGAGGAAAACACACTACAATTATTACGGTTTCTCAGGTCAAAAATGCACTTTTGCAGTCCAGATCTGCAGAAATTCATGCATGGGGAATTCTAACCAGCTTGTAACTAAGCTCAGCAGCAGTCCTTATGTGCTTGGCAGTACTCATGTGTGTAGACATCAGGCAGGGAAAAGCAGGGCACTTCCAGGAATCCCACGGGTTGAGGCCAGTGCGTAAGACAGTACCATCTTATGGACAGAGAAAATTAACTAAAGTCCATGTTACGCCAAGGTAAACTCTGACCTAAGGAAAAGACCACGGTCTTTGCATGCATACATGCAAAATACTGTGGCCGGATTTTCCAAAGTTCGGGGCAGCTGTAATTCCTGTGAAAGTCCATTGAAACTCAGCACCTCTGGAAAAACAAGGCCCTAAGAACTTTGAAACAGTTCTCTATTCTCTGTCTGTACCTAAACTACATGTATAAACGTAATAAAACTATTATTTAAGATAAAGTATGAATGCTGAGAACCTAAGGGGTTTTTTGTGCCACTTTTCATGCATCTCTCTATAGTACTTACATTTCCACTATACTTTAAAAACAAATACAAATTCATAAACTCAAAGTATGATAATTAAAACATGAAGAAACTGATAAAGTCAGAGACTCGCCAAATGAATATGGTATCAGATTTGATCTTTGTCCAAGGTCTGTCCAGTTTAGCTCAAGTGGTAGGTTATAATGTGCATTGATTACAGACTCCTGATTATACCGAGCCACTAAAGAGCAAGTGAAAGCTTGTTGCTAGAGGATTATAGCAGACATTCTGGCCACTAACAGTGAATTTCCATACGGCTATTAATCTCTGTCACAACACTGAGGTTATGTTAATTTTTTATTTGTCTTTCAAGGAATTATGAACATAGTCCATTACATTTCCCAAAGCTGCAGGAACAACTTGTCTTTAGGAGAGAGTTATGGTTTATGGCTGTCAAGTCACCCATGCTATAAAAAGAAAAATGAATGTTCAGACTTTGCCAAAGAGCCAAAGCACCGCTCTGTGGAGAGGTGAAGCTCAAACTGGAAGCAATAGGTACTTTCTGGATGGCACCTTCTTGTTCACAGAAGGTCTCCTGGGTACTCAGATGAGTCAGAATTGCTCAATTATACCTATACCTCAGATGAAAGCGCAGTGGTACACAGATAAGGAGGTCTACAAACTGGCACGGCCACTCCCCAGTCAAAGATCCAAGTAATGTTAACAGAAGAAAATGTGAGGGGAATATAGAGGGCCCTGTCTTTCTCCTGCCCCCTAGTAATCCTGGTCCTGTTTGTAGTGCAGATTACAGACACTGCGGCAGCACCAACGGGAGGTTGTTTAGGACTTGCAGGTCTTGTAGGACTTGCTATTCCTCCCATTTCTCGCTCACACAAGGCAGGAGGAAAAGTGTCCTGAGGCTACCTTGTATCCCTGTTACTAGAAGGTATATCCATTTCTGCAATGACAGAGTGCTTATCCAGTAGCTGGAAGAGGCTCTAAAGCAAGGATTTAATGGCTGCTAGCGAGTGATGGTGTCACTGTGGGATAAAATGTACCTTGCGGGAAAATAGGCTTGAATATCACAAATTACCTTTGTTGTGACAGTCCAGTGTCGAATCACACTATATACCTTAAAATAGCACCTGGAGGGCCTAATACATTATATTAAAAATATATTAATTAAATTAAAAATATAAAAAATTTCTGAAATTTACTTCTGCTTCTAGCATTCCATAATTAGGTCTTAGGTCCAGAATATTTAATTAGAAAATTGGAGTTTAATTGTAATTTGGTCACCAGAATCATCAGTTCCACAAGTCTGGGATTACCATGAACAACATAGTGTGAGAAAACTATGAAGAGAAGCTGTCATCCACAACAGATGTTTGTAATTTCTCCTTTTCCTTCACTATAATAAGCATATCTAAAGTCTGTTTACAGTTCTGCTGAATTTTTGCTGAACCAAAAACTGCAAAAAAAGAGACAGAATTGTACCATTCTGTAAGCCTAACCTGGAAGTCAAACCATTACATTATCAATACCTCCCAACTGTAAAATCATGCTGTGGATACATACCTGTCCCATCATGGTCTCCTTATACTGTTTTTTCTGTGTAACTTTGATTGGAGGCAATTTTGTCACAGCTGACACCAAAAAATTCATTAGAATGTCCTCACAATTGGCCAGTTGGTCCACCATATTCTTTAGGCTGGCAGGCAGGTAATGAGTGTACAGGTAGTGATAATATCTGGAAGCCAACAGCAGTGTTATTAATACAAGTCACTGGGCTTTCAGGGATTACAGACCCCAGGAAATGTCTGTCTCAGTTGTGACACAAGTGTTGTACTCAGCTCTGGAGATACCACTTCCTTTCCTTGGTCTCATCCTCCAACATGAAGGGAGAACAAATCAGTATCTCACCAAGACAGTAAACTGCGCTAACGGAGAAACAAAACATGTCTTTTTTGTAACCGGGTTGAAAGAAATTATGCAGACCTGAGTATCAAGATAATGAAGAAGCAGGAAAAAGAGCATCACATTGCCATAATGTGATAGACAACATTGATGAATTAGTCCTCCACCTCTTCTTTCAAAATCGTTCAGAAGGAAAGAACTCTATTAAACTGGCCTACTACTGTCCTTATTGTTGAAATTATTCTCCTTTGGGCTTATATCATCTCCTACGGCCTGTCTTCTCCTTTGTGGGAATGTGGATTAGATACTCCAGAATTTGCTTTCTCCTCAGATCTAGAGACATCTTTGGTCTGCTGAAGTCCTAACAACAAGGGTTTTCTCCATCATGCTGCAATACGCTGATCCGTGACGTGTCCACTGTACTACATTTCTAGTGTAGCCAGAAGACTTTGCAGTCTGCAGCTGTCAGCCAACACATACCCAGAGCTGGTCTGGAAGTAACCTCCTTTCTGCTATGCTACAGGCCATTCAGCCGAGCAGCTTAATGAATCTGGGAACTCTTTGAAGTGTGTAATTCCTGATGTTAAAAAGAGCAGTCCGACTGCCTCAAAATACAAGTGACTTCAAAGAGACCCAACAAGCACAATAATGATTACCAGATCCCCAGAGCTAAACCAAGAACTTAAATTATTACCCCATAAAAAGTAGACCCATTTATTATCTTTCCATTTTTTTCCCCTCCCCGGAAGAATGTTCTTCATCCCTATCCCCCCCGCCTCCCCTTACTATTTTGTTTCATACAGAAGGAGGACAGCAGATGCTTTGGGTTCTTACTTGTGGTAAATAGCAGCTCCTGTCAATACCATGGAATAGTCATTAGTCCATTTGGAGGTATACCCCCACCTCTCCTTAGTGTTGTCCCAGAAGTGACTGCGAGCAGGGTACCCTACAATCCTCTCTGGAAAACTCTGCCAAACTGTAAAGGCAAAATCCACCTGTGGACAAAAGCACAGGCCAAATGAATACTGAAATTGTTTCAAGAAATGTCAACAAAACAAAATATTACCTTGCCACTAATTCGTAATTCAAAATCTTGGAACTGTTGCAAAACATTAATTCTATGTATTCATCAGTAAATTAAACTGACTGCTTGACATTTTGCCCTATAATTATGCACATTTTAATGGTTCCTGTTAAAGTGAGTCTAGAGCATCACAGCATTACATTAACATTTTCAAGCTTGCCCTTTACGTATAAAATCTTTTCAAGTTACAGAAAGAATGGGTGTAGGTGCATGTAATATCGAGTGGTAAAAGCTATGTGGTAAACCGAACCTTTTGCACATCCTTGTGCATCCCACCTACCATTTCAGTACTCTCAACACAAAGCTTGGAAAATCAGGAGTCAAATACCTTCAGTTACAAGGGTGGCTCAGTGAGACTAAAACAGGCAATCAATGTGGAGTCCTTTTCTATTTTCCATCCATTTTGAGCCTTTGAGGACCATGCTGGTCATACATTTATGACTGTCTATGTGACCAAGAGGGTCAAACATATAGCTTAATAAAGAGGAAGATTCCCACACAGTTAATTGGCTTTAGGACTCTAAGAAAAATGCTTGATACTGTATCAGCCACAAGAAGATGTCAAATGCTGTCAATAGTGTTTCTTTTTATTTTCCTATCTTGCTGTAACTATTTTAATAACTCAAATCTCGATGAGAACTGGAATGGTGACAGAACAGTGCTACCCCAGGATCCTACCAAACAAATCCTGGTGACACTAGGAAAGGGATGATTGGGGTAGTTTGCAGAAGGCTCATCAGCACCAGATTTGAAAGGAGTTTAGTAAAAATACATATAGAAAGATATTTATCACTGTGAAGTTGGTTGGCAGTCCCTTCACTTCAACTTAGGTTTTGGAGCTCAAGCTAGACCGAAATTTTAAAAAGAATTAAAGACAATTCTAATTGCCCCCGTCAAACCCAAGAAAATGGGGGATTTGTTTTCTGCCCTCTACACCAAGTTCCCTTCAGTACCAGAGGGACCTGAAACTTTGCTCAAAAAAGCTTGAAAAACCTTCCAAGAACCCAGCCAAAGTCAAGGGGGTAGAGGTTAGATAAAGAATAGCTGCTCTGAGAACAGTCACATTCTGTGTGATTACTGTCAGACTTCTCTCATTTACAAGTGTTTTTATGAAACAGAAGAGTCACACATGTACTGGAACACAAAGTTAGGGACTGGTTATTTTCTTTCAAGTTGTTTCAAGGAATCTGAGGCCAACTAGAAAGACAATATGCACAAACCAGTTACCGTTGTGATAGTTCTGATCTCATCCAAATCAATACCACATGAAAGAACTAAAGGGTTTTTTTTCCCTGTAAAGGCCTTTCCCATAAAACGTGACATCTGTTTTCTTTAGAGAAGTCTGAGAATCTCAAACTTAAATAAATAATAAAGCAGCTGCACTCAGTGCCCTCACTTGTACTTTCAAGTATCTGTCCTTGCACCAGGGAGACACACTAAAGCAATCATCCTAAGAGAAAACTCCTTTTATTAGAAAACCCCAGTCCTCATCCTATATAATTTTCACCAGCATTACCACTCAGCTGATGAGCAGGAAAAGCCAACCAGGATGCCAGTTTCTTAAACCCCTGTATCACTTCTGACCCGTGCTGATTTCCATTTACTTCCCACACAAACATCCCTCTGCGCACGTGACACGGCTCCTCTCACTACAGCAATTACGGGCTGTTCTGTTGGGAACAGAAAACCTTTAGTAGAGCCGGACAGAGCAAAGGATGTGCCTGGTGACTCCTCCCAACAGGAATGTGATCTTGTTTGACCATGTTTCTAAATTGCCTTCTCTGGGCCCTAGAGCTTTGCCACAACCACCACCCATGAGCAGCAGTTTCAAGGGAAGTTTCGCACCACAAGTTTTTGTGTCAGTGTTTCAATGCCCTGTTTCTTTGTGTAAGCTGTGTGACGGGGGAACTGAAGCAACAGAAAGGCCCCAGCTCTTCACAGAGAGCCACCAAAGGGAGGCATTGACCCTGGTACCCTGGCAGAGGCACGCTGAAGCTGCAAGGTGGGTGCTAGCGAGAGCTGGCCAGCTGGTTCTCTCTGTAGCACAGGGGCCACGGGGCTCGGAGAACCAATAGCCACTGTGCAAACATGCAATATTGGCTGCAAGCTGCTCACAGGAGGGAAGAACTACAAAGCAATGTGTATGTTGTCTCACACAACAGCAAATATTTGCATTTCAGAATGTTTAGAGTAAAACATGGCCAAGCTGAATGAGAAACACTATTTATTTCATATGTGTTCCAGAAGCCTGAATGACTCCAAAGTTTGGATGATGACTAAATACCAATCAAAACAAAACAAAGCCTCAAATCCTCATGGAATCCACAAGCTGGATTGTGGTAAATACCACCTCAGTGCAATGAAGTCCCTGAGAAGTCTACCATGGCCCACAGGACACCTGAGACAGGACCCTTCATCCTGAGCAACAACCTGCTTAGGAACTCTAGCCCTAGGATAAATGCCTTTTATTGCTTTTGGTTTGAGGGTGTTTTTGGCTGTGCAGGGCTTTGAACACAAGTGCTTTGCCAGCAGATGTATTCTTCCTTATCTATCAGAAACTACCAAGGTGAAATCTTGGCATTAAAGATTCAGTGGCAACTACTTCTTCCATCTGCACAGCAGAAGAGGGTTACTGTGGCTCCCTCTGGAGCAGCCTAACCACAGAACAACAAATCCATACTGTTTTTTTTGCAATCTCATCAATTTAGAAAAAATTCAGTAACATCTTAGAGTATATAGCAGTGACGGGTGACTAATGTTAGGCATTTCTTCACTGACATATAAGCAGTAGTAGCATCAGTGAAAGATCCCCATCACTGATTACAAAAGTATTTTTATAAAGGTAAAGTGGGGAGAAGTGAATGGCCATGAACATGGGGGGAAAAAAGGGAAAACAAAAGAAAATCGAGTTTTTCAAGCTATTCCCTGGCCATCATTAATAATGTATTTCCTAAATATTGCACTCTATATAAACTGTCATCAGTTTCCCCTGTGGTTTTCAGGAAGAGATTCCAGAAATCAATACCCATCCCAGTTGTAAAAATTGGTTTTCTACAGCATTTTTCTTTTCTTAGCACTATCTTGCTCTTGGCACAAATGCTCTAACACTTAAACTAGCAAAGATCTCCAATTTTACGGGGCGGCACAATGGTGAGAGCATTCCTCAGTGAAATCCCGCATTAGGGTGGCAACACTGTCTTTTAGAGCGACAGCAGTCCCCTGCTGCTGACACCCCTTCCTTCTCCACCTACTGATAACGTTCGGGGGAAAAAGCTACCCCAATCAGAAAAGTGAGAACAGAGCATTAAAGCTGACTGCTCTTGGCTGCCAACACCCGCCTGCAGCTATGTTACTAAAATAATAAAGAACGGAAGAACCATATGCTAATGATGAGCCAATTAACCAGGGTGAAAAGCTCCTCTGATGGCAGGCAGTGGCAGGGCTGCTGAAACAGTGCAATGCGTTAAATCTGAGGAGCATAGCAGGAAATGTTGTAACATTTGCTCACTGGCAAAACCAAGAGAAGACTGTATCTGCTGCGCCCAGGATGAGCCAAGCAGACTCCCAAGTTGACAGAGACCCTTACCTCAGTGGTTGAAAGCACGGTGTCCTCATCCAGGCTTAGCACTGCGTCTGTCACTATGTTGTCGTAGGGTAAGAAGCGACTGCTCATAACCTATGGGTATCCAAGGCAGGAAGGGAAGGAAAAAAAATCACTTGAAGGTCTAATTTTTAATGGAAATACTTTATTTTATTCATCACTCTTATTTCCTCTTGTCTGAGGCACATTCCATATCTCTGCCTGATGGAAAGGACCCTTCAGCTCAAGAGTGAAAGATTGTCATTTTTGTCATCACAGCCTGAAGAGTAATTTCTGAACAGACCTCCCTCTTTGGAGCAGGCTGCTTTCCTTTTGTGACAAACTGCAGTGGTCTATACCGAGAATTAGATCTAACTACAGCTTCTTTATGGACGACATTTTCCCTGGTAGCTAAGACTGTGGCTCTGCCCTCCTAGAGGGTGTGAGGATCAAAGATAATGAAGCACCAAGTAGGACTTTGCAGCATTCATAAGGTTATGCAGCTGGGAAGCCAAGGAGTGCAGGCTGTGTGTGAAGACATTACACTACAGGATGGTTCCCCTGTAAAGTGGTACAGATCCATCCCTGTGCATTGCTGTTGTATCCACAGGGAGCTGCGGCCAAACGGTGCAACATTCTCCATCAGAAAAGGAGAATATGCAAAAGAACATGAGCATCAGTTGAGGTTCACCTGCTCATCAAGAATTACACTGGTAGTGCAGGATTCTAAAAAGTCACTTTCTTAAGTGACAACTATATACATATGTTATCTATATGCAGAATAAGCTTTAAAAACTAGAGCAGGACAGTTCTCAAAGCAACAGGAAATAGATGGGAAAGTGGGATCAAAAATATAACAGCAAGAAATGAGAATCCATACTGTTTCTTTAGCAGACTAATTAGCACCTTCTGAGATCTGACGAATAGTAACAAGGACATTACATTATTTGTTTCTCTCATTTGCTAGGAAAAATATCCTGGCTAGTTAACAGACTTCTTTTGCAATTTACTATACTAAGAAAACACTACAAAAATCAGGCCCAGGAAGAGGAAATCACTGCATGGAAACAGGGGCATGGAGAAGTTTTACATGTCCCTCATAATGGAGATGGTCAGATCTGCATCCCCTGCAACCTGTTTGGAAGCAAGTCTTTAAATCTATGCCTCGATGCAGAGAAAGCCTGTCTCTATACGATCTGGAGGTTCACAGTCTGGAGACCGTCCCTCCAACACTATGATGGCCTTGCTCTGGGGAGGTGGTGGCTGTGAGGAAGAGGCGATTTGACAGGGGTTGATGGTTTTGCTTTGCTTATGCAATGTAAAGCAGAGCAAGCAGCAGGCAGATGACTGGTGTTTTCACCCCAGCTCTTTTACAGACCATGTAAAATTGTCGAAGAGTATCTCAGGTGGGACTACTCAGGTTTTTTTTTATTTGTTGTTTTTTGTTTTTGTTTTTGTTTTTTAAGTTAAAGCTTCCCTTTGTAAAACAGGTGTGATAACATATCTTGATTTCATGGGGAAGAGTGAAGGTTAGGTATAGGCAGACCTCTGTGATCACCTGCACAGAGTAACTGTGCCTGCCAGTACGCTTTAGTTAAGTCTGAAGATGAAAAGCAGTTCCTTTGTGCAACCCTTGAAGTGCACTGCTCTAGCTCTGCAAGCTTTGTCCAAACAAACGGCTTTTCTGCACAAGAAGCCATTTGGCATACGTTGGGATTATTAGAGGGAAGAGACTGTCCACTATAAACACACCTTTGTGTGCTCAGGAGACTCATTTGTAATCTAAACAGTGCTTAGGGCCAATTTCTACAAACACTGCAGAACTGGTCAGAGATTTTCTCCTCTACCTCACCTCTGCAACTCTTCCAAAAAGAAAGAAAAAAACCCCCAAACGTTCAAAAGCCTCAGAAATCACTATAGCCTTTCTCGGCCCTGCAGCAACTCTCCTGACACTGTTCACATGGCTAGCTAAGGCAAGAGCCATTAGCTGCCAACCTTGCAGGGCTCTCACTTTCCCCTTGTTAAGGTGACTGGGGGAAACGACCAAAGACATGACTATAAATTCAAAATAGGATTGTACAGTCAAAGCAACTAAAAGTTCCTTTTGCGAATGCAGAGCTCAAGAGCCAGCTGACAGAGATCTCAGAGGGGACCAGCCCAAATCCATCTCCGTAAGAGTTTAGAAGCAAGAAGTCTTGCTTCTCTCAGGCTTGCATTTGGAAAGGAATCATCTACTTCAGTGTGGATTTTTAAAAAAGCCTCTTTTCTCATCTGGGTGGTGTCTGTTTCAAGTTGGTAGAAGAGCAAACAAACAAGTGTGTTGCACAGCAAAAGATGACACAGGGGTTTTGTTCCCATGCAAGTATCCCTTGCCCTTTCCTTTTTTCTTGGTGGTGGTATTCCATCACTGGCAGCAGTACCCTTACAGGGCTATGAGAGAAGGTACTTTTCAAAGGTGGGTTAACACCATTCATTCTCATCTCTTCCTCTGCTTTTGAGCTGACCCCCAAGTCTTGCATATGACTGTTCAGACTCAATGAATCCAGCTGCACCACTACTTTCATGTACCTGCAAGAGAGACAGAAATCTCCAAAGACGGGGTCAGCACTACCTACGCTTGGGGCCACATTTCAAAACTGGGTCCCATCTGTGAATCTCAGATTCACGGCATCAAGTGCCATGCTGGTGATTTCCGAGAGCACAGGCCTCATGCATGAAACATGAATCTGTGACCAAGCGGGTACAAAAGGCCAAGGAATAGAAAGGAGCTGTCACAGCATTGGGAACTACAAAGCTTTCACGAAAGCAGCTGGAAAAATACCTTCTGGTCCCACTGGAGAACACAGGCAATGTTTTACCATGTTTCTCTCCACCTACCTTGCTCTCTCCTTCAATGACTATGACAGGCACAGAAGTGGCAGGCCAGCGGTGTTTGGCTGGGAGGGGTTTATCACAATTCCATAAAACAATAATCTGAAAGAGAATATTGGACCATGATCAGAGACCTTTGTGGCAGTGCAGTCCAAACCCTAAGGACTCAGTTCTCTAGTCAAAAATCATAGAATCACAGAACAGTTGGGGTTGGAAGGGACCTTAAAGCTCATCGAGTTCCAACCCCCCTGCCATGGGCAGGGACACCTCCCACTAGCCCAGGTTGCTCAAAGCCTCATCCAGCCTGGCCTTGAACCCCTCCAGGGATGGGGCATCCACAGCTTCCCTGGGAAACCTGTTCCAGTGTCTCACCACCCCCACAGGAAAATATTTCTTCCTAATATCTAATCTAAATCTGCCCTCTTTCAGCTTAAAACCATTACCCCTTGTCCTATCACTACACTCCATGATCAAGAGTCCCTCCCCATCTCTCCTGTAGCCCCCTTTAAGTACTGGAAGGCTGCGAGAAGGTCTCCCTGGAGCCTTCTCTTCTCCAGGCTAATTGTTAAATTCAAGTTAGGAATTTCAAAATTAACAACAATGATACAAATCTGTATAAAAATAACACTTCCTACAGCAGCTTCACCCATTTACAATACACGTCCTCTCAGGCAAATATAGGCTGGACAGGAACTCTGGAAGTCTCTATCTAGGCCAGGTCATACGGATGTCACTTGTTTACTTTGGCTCTCTTTAAAGGCTAAACCACTTGTGATGCTCCACTGCAAGAGGGTGCTCCTACTGAACTCCCCAGGGTTTCCTTCAGAGAAGCCAAAATCCTGGCACTGCTGAGACTAAGAGCCACAGCAGGAGGAAGGAAGATCACATAGGGGCTCTTAAGGCATAGATATCCTTTTGCAGCAGACGCAATCCTGATCTTTAAAGTGCAGCTATTATTTGACCTGCCCCATGAAACACAGGGGTTTAATTACTGTCTCTGTTCCACACATACTACACTCAGAATTTTTGTTTCCCATACATGCAGGTCACAGACAGTAGAAATCTCAGAGAAAAGAAACATGAGAATTGAAACAGAGGTCTGAAACAGGTCTGAGAAGATTTAAAGTCAGTAGGCTCTTCACTCCTGCAATAGCAGTTTTGTCTCCAATGTGACTGACAGTCAAACAGCGCTGCTCACCTGTGCACAGTACTGGGACTTGGCTACGGCAACCAGGAGTTTCAGCACAGGCTGCGACTGGGAAACCAGGGGAGTTACAGCGTGGATAACGGCAGTGAATGTGGAAAGAGGCTTCAGACCTGAAGTGAAGAGATACATGTTCAGTAAAGACAAAACTGCCCTGGTTAGTACCGATTAAAGTACTCTGGAGATGGAGAAATAAGTACTCTGGAGATGGAGAACTAATCTGCACTTAATGCAAACCTTGCCATGTTTTGTTAGGCCATCTCCTTTTGTCTCGGATACTAGGATACCAGATGCTTCAGAGGAGATCCCACTTCCCTTTAACACCCACACCCTCTGAAATCCCCGACTCCAACACAATTACTGCCTTTTCTTACTCACTATTTCCACAAATGTCCCGCAATCTCTTTCTTTTATCCAGATTGTCCCACACATAATACTGACATCTAGTTTTTTCAATCAAATGTCTTTCTTGACACAGGCTGTTTTGCTGCCTGGCTCTGGATGCTCGATGTTTTCTACAGATTATCTCCGTGACTTCCAGAAGCTTGTTCAGTTTCCTCAGTTCCATTACAGCCTCTGTCAGATTTTTGCTCTTTCTGGGTCAATCCCTATCCACATGCATCTCCAGTTACCTCCTGAGCTGCTTGCATCCTGGCCTTCCATTCTGGTATTTTTGTCTCGCTATGATTTCCTTTTCTGCCTAAAATAACAGATCCTACTGGTGTCTACCCTTCATTACTGCTCTCAGTCTTATCTAAATTCATCTGTGCGGGGTCATAGTCGTTTCTCATAAAGATTCTCACAGAAACCTTCTCCCTTTTTAACATGGTAACCGTGAATTTTTAGCAGGTGAGCAATGCAAGATCCACACAAGTGGGATGGCACAGGCTGAGCCAAAAGTAGCAGGATCACTTCAGCCTGCAGACAGATTCCTCTGCAGAACTCACTGTTTAAGCTCCGCTTCAGGAAAAAGCCATGAACCTAAGCACTGTTCATTCCTTCTAGTGGGATCCATATGAAGACACACAGTATGGAGAATAAATCCATACCAACTATGCGCTCCAATAACAAGTGCCATGGGTAAATTCCCACTTTTCCCATTTGCCAAGCAAAAATAAACAAAGAAAGCAAAAAGCTATTTCTCTTATGCCCCCTTGGGCCATGAATGCATCAGCAAATCAGGCATTAATTACTGCCAACTGAAAAGTATGAAGGGACATAGATTTTTTTTCAAACAATCTTTGCAAGCAAGAGGCACGTGATGCATGTTGATGAGTCAGAGACATTCCAGCCCACACTGGGCAGGGAAGATTGAGACAGAATAAACAGAAGGCATCATTGACTAGAAATGAATGATAAGTCACTTGGCACATGCTACTCAAGGATCAAATTCCAAATTTCCAATAGAAATTCCTCCACTAGATTATTGCAAGGATTCACTCACCGAGATTAGCATAGTAGTAAGGAAAATCTCCCAGATATGAGGAATACTGTGGCAGTACAAATAACCCTCCAGGATGTTTGTTCCATATTAAGCTGTTACGTGATATGTGCTTAAATATTCTGTCCTGAATAATCTGGAAAACAAGAGAATTTATGATTTTTAAATAGACTGCAAGAGCCACTGGTAGAAGCTTCAGGGACTCCAGCTGACGCCTGGAATCATCACCCATTTTGCAAAGAGCTGAGGCACACGAACTTTTCTGCTTAATTTCTCTTAAAATAACACAGAACCTGCACACTTTGGCACCACTTCAGCAGCTCAGGCTTTGCGCAGGAAGTTTCAGCGCACCTCATTAGTCCTCTGGACATGAGGACCATGCTATTCATTGCATTTTGTATTTCAAGTCAAATATTTTGTCTGTTAGAGCATCTTAGCAGTTTTAAGCCCGATTAGTTCATTGTCAGTTGTACTTTCCAGAACTCACAGAAGATAAGTATTTGAGGATGGCATTACAAAGCTAGGTATTATCTTGAGATAATGAGAGCATTCAAAACCACAAAGACTTACAGCAAATCAGGCTGCACTAATTATTCATTTTTGCTTAATTATAAAGGGATATTAGCATTCAGATACAGTACTGATTCCACGTAACAGTTCTGTAACAGTTCCTTGTTGGATGAAACAGAAAACGATCTTTTGGCAACTACTGTCTGTCTCTGTAGACAGCCACAAACACTGATTCCTAGATTTTTAAGGTCAGAACAGATTGCTAGGTCATCCACTTCATCATCTGGAATACCACAAGACATAAAAAAAGATAGAGGGCTGTACAATTAATATGTATTTATAAAACTAATTACAGTTACTTCATTTCATTTGCCAGTATGCAAGAACCATAGTGGGTCTTGCACTGACGGGAGCTTTTTCAAACTTGCTGCAAAGGCATAACAAGATTTAGGGGTGGGAAGCTCTAACTGGACAAATTCAGCCTCCAAATAAGATGCAGCTTTCTAAGCGCAGTCCACTGTTTGGCCACACGTTCTTACAGATTGGCCTTCCCCCAGAACATCAGAGGTAGACAGGTCCAGAGATAGAATCTCAGAATAATTTAGCTTAGAAAGGACCTTTTAAGATCATTGAGTCCAACTGTTAACCTAACACTGCCAAGTCCACCACTAAGCCATGTCCCTAAGCTTCACGTCTACACAGCTTTTAAATACCTCCAGGGATGGTGACTCCACCACTTCCCTGGGCAGCCTGTTCCAGTGCTTGGCAACCCTTTAGGTGAAGAAATTTCTCCTAATATCCAATCTAAACCTCCCCTGGCACAACTTGAGGCCATTTCTTCTTGTCCTATAGCTTGTTAGCTGGGTTACTGCAAAGGGCTGGGGCATGGCAAAAGAAAGAATTTCCCCCTAAATTGGCTAAGCAGGATCGCCTTGCCTTCTTCTGCAGCTCATCTTCATGTAATTGGCAGTTTATGCATTGCACAGGGCCTAATTGCCAAGAACACACTGGTTCTCCTAACCTAACGTCTCTGGCCTTAACACAGGCACATCTGGGTGAAACTCTGTGGCTCTAAAGTTGGACTAAATCTGACCCCTCATCATTCATTCTGGCCTTAAAATCTACAGAACTAAAGAAGGTATGCACCCACAGCATAGGAAAACCAAAAGCAAGCAAAAAGATCCAACACAAGCTGGACAAAGGCTGCTGCTGGAGTCTAAACAAGCTAAAATCTCTGTAAGCAGCTGAGTTCAGGGACATTTGGTCAATACGGAACATGAGTAAGTGTTGCCACAAGCAGTGGTTTTCCTGGAATTTTTGATTGCCGTGACAAAAAAAAATTAAAACACCAGTTACATTGTGCTAGACAATCCACTGCTGGTGGCAATGTACATATTGCTAAACTGGGGCAAATGTTAGGTGTTTGCATGCTTGTCTAAATTTTGCATACAGACAATTACCATGGCTAATATGCAGTAATTCACACACATGCCTAAGTTAATATAACTTTTTTTGCACTCGGAATGACAGACTTAGGACTGTATTTCCAGCACTGACAAGAGCATATCTGAGTATTTGTGTTTGGAAAGTTAGGTGTATCAGTTGTCAAATCTCCTGCATGGTAGTGGGGAGAGGAAAAAAAAGACAGTGACTGCTGTTCCTCCATCTGCAACTTATGCCACTAAACACAGACAGAACCTAGAAAGTACATATTTCAAGTGTTTACCACAAAGCCTAAATATTACAGCTCCTTCCTCCTGCTTTCTCAGAACTGGGGCATAATCAGATAAGGAGAAGTCTGCGAATTTACATGGTCAGGAGGTTTTCACAGATGATGGGGTTTTCCACTGCGCTGGTAGCTAGCAAGGCTGCAGGGGAAACACATGGCTCGCATTCAACGCTGCCTCAGTGCACCCGGAGCGAGCGCGGCTCTAACACGGAGCAGGCCCCTGGTGCCGTGCAGCACACGCAGCCTTTGGTGCATGTCGGGCACACAAACATCACCAGTGCGGTTCCGCACCAGGCTGGGGAGCTGGCCTCAGTGATTTATCACAGTTAACAAACGGAAGATTAATTTATCACACTTCTCGTCTACATGAGAAACCTAGCTGTCTGTCATGATATAGAGGAGAAAAGACAACTTGGCAGAAAGAGAACAGAAAAGTATAAAAAAAGATAACGTGGAGGACCAATCAATTAAAATGCAGAGTGTATAGTGCTGCACATATTGCAGAGAAAGACAGCACCTACATGGTCTCGCCAATGATGAGGCATGACAGGAAGTTTAATCAGAGCAGGAAGGGGTTAGGATCCCTGGTGAGATCTGCCTTTTCTTTTTGGCATTCATTAATAGTCCAATATTTTTGTCTCCCTCATTCTCACACTTCAAAAAGTTCACATATTGCCTTAATCATTGATGCTTCTCAACATGCCCCAGTCAAGCATCAAACATTCCTTGTCTGTACTTTGTGCTATCCCGCTACCCTCCTCTTCCCGAGCAGAGGACTGAGCACGACACACTGGGATTTAGGGATGTTTTCAGGCTTTTTTTCAGAGAAGACCAAGCTGGAAAAAAAGCAGATACACTGGAGAATGTGTCTGGATGATGGCTGCAGCAGCCCACTGCTGCCAGGGCTCACACTCACCAGCCAGGGAAAGACCCTCACGATCACAGTTTCCCGACCCACAGCACGTGGCACTGGACAGTTAGTTCCTCTGTGCCTGCAACATGGTATTGCTGGCCAAATGATTCAAACCACTCATTTTGGGCTATGAGCTGTTTGGCTTAGGCTACCAAATCCTGTGAGAAGATCAAGGACCTCAAAACGTGACTTCATGTTTTCAAAAGTGTCCAGGGTAAAGGGCAGAGGGGAGGTGTGGTGTCCTTGCACACATCTGAGCTCGTGAAGACTTTCTGTACTGATATCCTCACATGTGGAGATGTACTTGCACTGCAGTCAGCAGGCAGGTGATTATTCTGATGATATCTGGCATCATCAGAGTGCTCTGACACAACAGTGTTACAAGAGAAGACGGATAACATCCACCAGAAATAAGTAATCCTGCTAGAAATTTAATTCCAAGGATCAGATTTTAAGAAGAGCATATATAGCTTGCCAATTTTGGACACCAAAAATCACTCTCAACTCTTTTATTCCTTTCCTAAGGAAAGTTAACTCAGGATGTTACTTACGCAAGTTGAAATGTGAAACGAGTATCTGTTCGTAAGTACAGAATCCCTCTTAGCTGTCTCAAAAATTTCTGAGAGTCCTGAATTAAAAAATAAACAAAAAACCCCTCCAACCAAAACCACTCTTGCAAACAAATGAAAAAAACCAGAACATAACTTCAACACCAGGCATACATTACTCAGTTTCATTAAATTAAACCTTCCAGGAAGATTGTTGTTTTCACTTTAGTTTTCCCCCTCCAAGCGGAAACTCCAGCTTGCTGGTTGCCCAGCTGCTTCAGCTTTATTATGGGTTTTGCTGTCCCCTGGGCACCTGCGGCCATGTGGGCCAACGTGTCCCAGGGCAGCACTAAAGTCACATCTGTGCGCCGTGGAGCTTGATGCAACGGAAGCCAAGGCCATGGGGGATGCAGCTTACGTCCCCTGGAGACCAGCCCCAGCAGAGGCAGCAGCCAGCTTGCTGGTTGCCCAGCTGCTTCAGCTTTATTATGGGTTTTGCTGTCCCCTGGGCACCTGCGGCCATGTGGGCCAACGTGTCCCAGGGCAGCACTAAAGTCACATCTGTGCGCCGTGGAGCTTGATGCAACGGAAGCCAAGGCCATGGGGGATGCAGCTTACGTCCCCTGGAGACCAGCCCCAGCAGAGGCAGCAGAGGGGCAGCGAGGAGAGCCATGTGCCCCTTGCTTTTTAGCAATCCCTAACGTTTTTTTTTGTAGGGAAGGGGCAGATCATACATGAGGCACCCTGATTGTCCTTAAGGGTACCTCTGTAAGGGTAAATTAGACTGTGAGCACTGGCACGTGGTCTTCCAGCTTTGTGAGTCCAATCCTGACGTGGGCTGTGATAATTATCACTATCTCATCAGTGCTTACGGGGAGTCTGAGGATGCTGAGCGGCTCCCAACAGGCAGCACAGATGAAGACATGCTCCTCCGAGGGCAAGGAGAGCATTGCGAGGATAGCTATGCCAGGGGCTCCAGAAATGCTCCCTGGCTGCATTTCTTCACTGCCACAGAAAAAATTAAGGGACTGTCTTGCAGCAGCTGGAGGTAGATCAGCCATGGGCAACCTGTGCTGCGGGCAGCAGCACTCATTTGCAGTTTTCAGGGGAAAGCAGGCACAGCGGGAAACACGGAGCTTTACAACTGTGCAGAAAGATGGATGCAATTGCAGAAGCATTAGCATAAGACAAATGCATTTGCACCTACAAAGTGAGCCACTTTCAGTGGTAAAAGTTTGTCAAAAATTTATGTGCAAAATTGTGAAACAATTAGAAGAGAAACTTGCTTTTGATATTATAGCCTGGGCCCTACTTCTAAAGAGCCTTTCATCTTTCCTCTGTCTCTGAATGCAGAAAGGATTCTCTCTACATTTGAGATCATCTGCCTCCCTCTTTAATAGCAGTCTAATTATGATTATTTATTAATACTTTATACAGATGATCAGGCCTTTCCCTTATCCTGCGTGTGAAGATAAGACACAGGGATGTACAAGTCCCCCCCGCCCCCCCTTCCCTTCAGCTAGACCTACAGCCCCATTACAAGGCATCAAAATGTTAAGGAATGGTCAAGGAAGAGCTTTACTAGTAATATTTTTTCCAAAATTAATTCCAGATAGGTTTCTTAAAGAAACACATTAACTAGCAATGACAAGGATAGTGATTCATAAACCACAAAGCCTTGTGAAGGCAAGATCACACATGACAACTTTTCCATGTGTTGGGTAGCTCCCATTTTTCACTGTGTCAGTTTTTTAATGTGGATTCCAATAATGAAGAAAGTATTTCCTTAGGGGACAAAACTTATCAAGATGCTGAGCTTTTTCTCAGTGACCAACTGCATGTCATGAAAACCAAAGTCTGACACCGGCTGAGGACAGGAGCAGGTGGACAGACACAGAAACCTCGCTGCTCGGCAAGGTCCTAGACGATTTTTACTCACCTCTAGTGTAGTCAATACAATCTTCTCAACTGAAGAAAAATAAGCCTCCCACAAGAACTGTGTCTGCTGTCTAAGTGCTAGGATTTTATCCTGATGGATAGACCTGATTGTAGAAGGAATCTGTAATACAAGATGTAATATAGTCAGAAGCTTCAGAAAACAACACATTCTCATCAAATTAATATGCTGCTGACAAGCCCTCTCCTCTATTAGCAAGCTGCACAGCTTCAGCGCTCCTGTCCGACAGCGATGCGTGTGTCAACAGTTAAAGCCCTGATGTAAAACGAATGAGACACAACACTTTATAACCTTTGCTACTGAATATATGAATTTTTTTTAACCTCCTTTCTTTTAGTTTTTGGTTATTTTATGGTAACAAAAGCTCCCTCTCCCCAGTGCTGTGGCATGGCACTGTAAGGAGCTCCTCCATACATCTCTTGTGCCCAAAGCTTTTCATGGACTAGTATTTTAACAAACTAGTACCTGCAGGTCTTCAGAGTCCAACAATAATCCTCACTCTCGAAGTATATTAAAGGGATCTGGAATTGCACTTACCGCAGCATAGCAACACTAAGTGCCCTAAGGAAAACATAGCAACATCTTAAGCAAGACTCTACTTTTTGGGAGTGTGCAGATCAAACTGCATTTTACTAATTACTGTGGGTGGAAAGAATAACGTCTCCCACACCACCTGTTATTCACAAGCAAAAAGGCTGCTTCTTTTTTTTCCCCTCTCCATTAAATCAACACATTAATTCTGGTATAAATCGCCTTACAAATAAAACACAAATCGTCCCGCTGCAATGCTTTACCATTAAAAAAGTAACTGCTTGCTGGGTCAGAACGGGAGGGCTTCACTTCTACGTCTTTCCTCATCCCCATGTCCCTCTTCCACACTGGAGGGACACTAATGTACACACGTGCCATTCTTTAGCTTAGGACATTGACCAAGGCCTCCAGTACACCACTTTGACACTGCAAACTGACATTATCAAGCGAATTTAACTGCAAGTTGCTTCAACTACAAGGGCTACTCACAGCATCAGAAAGGCATCCAGGATACGTTGCTGATTTGTGTTCATTTTCTCTAGGAATGAGGAGTTATGCTTTTGCACCTACGTTTTTGTGATTTCAAATTAGGCTACCTTGTTCTCAGACACTCATTTCTCATAAGTCTTTTCCCTAAGTCGTTAGTTGTGGAAGCATATACCTGGGCTGTTTAGCTTTTTGCAGATCACAGCTTATTCTGAAGTTTGCCTGCAGCCCACCACACCCGCCCTTTCCTGGCCAGACACACTTTGCTTATTCCTAAAATATTGGGAAGTGGCAGTGATCGTTATTTGCTTTCTCATGCTCCTGAATCAAATGATTTCACATGAAACATTTTCCTGAAGAAAATTTGAGATTTTAAAAATTTATATCTAGAAAATTTCCACACGAATCAGTAAATTATTTACTGCATTGCTTGCATCCAGGTCTGGACACTGCATCCAACCGGACCATGGCTCCAGAGGGTGCAGTGTTGGATGGGACAAGCTCTGCTCTCTAACACCTTCATCTCTTAGATGTCCCTCTTGGAGACACTGCTAACTGTAATACAGAATTTTAGCCTGTAAGAGAGTTAGCTCTCCAGCAAGGTGGAACAGAAGAAAATGGTCAGGCTGTCAAAGATGGTACTTTATGTTCCTTTGCTATAGGCCCTTCAGCTAAAATACAGGTCTTCAGGTAAAATATTCCCTGTAAAACTTTCCTGCGAAGCTAAAAACATGGATTAGCACATATTTTTCTAACTGATCACTATTCCAGAATGGTAAATGACTGCATCAAATTCCATCTTTTGAGGTGAATATTCTTTCTTTCCATTTCTTTTCCAATAAGTTCCAATAAGCAGAGGGACAATGAACACTACTGTACTGGCTGTACACAGATGTGTATTAATTACACCTGGGATCATTATCAACAGCAAACATGTGATCAAAGGCACTTCACAGTGGTGATGGGGCATTTTTTATATAACCTCATTCATTTCATTGCATTATGTGCGTGTATGCGTATGTGTGTGAGCAAGAAATAAAATCAGTACTCATTCCCAACTACGCCTTCTGAAAGGGAAAGCTGCTCTGACTGTGAAGGTTACTGCAAGAAGTTATGATTTTACAGACCACACCATGCTTGCGAGTGCCTGCAAACAACAGTGACAAGGTTAAAAAGCGAGCCTTGGTGCCTGCGCCATCGCAACAGCTGGAAAGAAAAATCAGAGCTCCCATTTTAACTGCATTTGCCTATTAGTTCTTAATCTACTTGTCCAGAAAGACAGGTGGGGAAAATGATGTATTAATAGTAATCTGTCAGGATTACACTGGAATTATTAGAACTGGATGACGTCTTAAGGAAAGGTCATTTCAGTAATAAGTAGGGGGAAGGGAAAAACCACCCCGCACAAATAGATGCTGAAAGGTTGGATTAAGCTCTCCCAGTGCTATGATGAGGAGAATATGCAAATAAAAACATCCGAGCTGCTCTCAAACAGGAAATGAAAAACTGTAACATAACAAAAACAGTTCCCAGAGCAGACATTCAGGCCCTCTGCCAGCTCTTTAAAAACACTGTTAATAACGGTGCAGTAGCTGTTCAATATGGAAGCAGCTGTGAGGAGAACGAATGGCATGTTACCGGAAAGCATGAAGATCAGCAAATTATTATTATTTAAAGAGAGAAATAATTTTGCTCAGAAAAATGTGCTGCCCACAGAAGCAAAAATCAAATGGCCCTTTTATATTTGCAGCTTGTATCACATTAAGGAGAAGAGGCAGCCCTTTGCAAGGTGTGCGAGGCCAGCTCTTAACAAAGATTTACTTCTTCAGACAGTAAATATGCATCTAACAAGATTTTCAAAGGTACTTAATTTTTGGGGTGCCGAGACGCCTGTACCTTTGAAGGCATCTCTCCATGAACGACAATAGCTTGCTACTTTGGAAATGAGATAAATTCAACCATAAAAAACCCCACCCTCCTAGTGGCTACTTAGTGGCTATTCCAGATCTTGCGGGTCTCAGTTTCACGCTGGGCAACGGCATTTTCTCAAACGCTACTTTGGGAAAACCAATTTTTCGATAACTTTTCTTAACATCAACTTTTCCACATACTTTACAGAATGTATTTAGACTATAAAACCAACTAGGGAAACAGAAAAAAATAATCCCATTCTATGATTCTACGCTTCTATCTAGTGAATTTAAAATAGATGCTGAAGGTAGCAGGGAATTGCCAACTTCTCAGCCTGCTTTTGTCCCATGAGCTGAAGGAAATGAACAATAAGTGACATGAAAGCAATGTTACATGGTCCAGACATCAGAAAAGGGACAGATCCTGCTTCCCACAAAACGGTTAGGTGGTAACTCCTGCCTGAGAAAATACCTGCTTCCCTGATGAGTCCTTTCAGTTCCTGACAGCCAGCCAGCCACAGCGCTGCTGGGTCCCCTGCAGATAAACTACTTCTGAAGGACTGGAGCAGAACCTGCCTTCAAATATTTTCTCTCTCATCACAGCACCCAGTCCAGGACAGCTCCGTCTCAGAGAGGCATCCAGGTGCTCCACACCAGAAGAAATTTCATGCTCTTAGGAAAAATAAAAGAGTCTCCTGCATTTAAGAATATGGCCTGGTGGCTGCAATGACCTTCAGGTCAAAAAATGAATGATGTCATATTAAATGAGTTCATAGCCAGCGTGACACAGACAATCCCTTCATGATAAAAATTCTTTTACAGTCTTGACCTTTTGGATTCATCTTCCCTGTCCATTTAGACGGTGGCAGTAATAATCAACTGATCTGCTGAAGGCCGCGGTCTTTTCTTACCTGTAATAACAATCTCTCATCGCCTATGACGGCAGCTTGGTTCCAATCAATCACTTCCGAGAACGGCAACTCCCATCCGTTGCTGAGCATAACCGGGACGCAGGCAGCCTGCACGCACACAGAGGCATGGCAGCTGTTAGCAGGTACCCAACTGTTACGGCAAGCTTTGAGCTTCGCACCGTTACCGTCGTCTTCTGCACAAACTCTGACCCAGCTCTCGTGAAGGTGGTCAGAAGGAGAGGCAATGCAGCAAAGCGCACCAGGAGCCAGAGACCACACCAGGGCAGCCCTAATTTTTCTGGCTGCCCACTCTGTTCTTACTCATATTCACTGAAAGGTCGTGTTTACACAGAGAGCGACATTTGAAATCTGGTGCTTACGCTGCCAGATGAGGCACAACTGTTAAAATGCTGCAGATGTAACAAATATGGTTAATACAAAATGATGGCCTTCCTCGCTGCTTTGTGAACCATTCAGCAGGGAGCTAACTCCCTCGATTTTTATAACATGTTGCAAGGCAACCTTACAGAAAATATATATCATATTTAATTCCAGTGCACTTTTTCCACAAAGCAGTGAATTCCTTACCCAGTTTGATATCACCTCTCCAAACAGAGGCAGTTGCACAAACACAACTCACCTGTCATCACCTGTCTACAAAAATAGGATTTGTTTTCTGTCTTAAAGCAAACAAAAAGCATACCCATTTAGTATCTATTTCATACCGGTACAATCTGTCTAAATTATTTAATCCTTTACGAGTTACGCGAGTTCCTCTGCACAGACAGAAAGTTTGCAAATATTCAGTAAATAGAGCGGTATTTCCGTAAATAAATGATTGCCACTATGTTCTGGTCAGCTGGATCCCAACATAAAATGCAAACCAAAAGCTTCCTGCTGTGATGCAAGAACCTATTACCAGAGGATCTGCATCAAGCCTGGTTCAGTTTCTTTTGGATCAAGCCAAGCTTAAGTGCTCTGAATTTGGTCTACACTGGGGTCCATCCCTTCTTTACCTCCCAAAAGATGGTACAAAGGGGAACCTTTCAGACTGCTGTACCCTCCCTGGTAACATGCATTACACACAGGATCTTAGACTGGTTAAGTCTCTTCATTATAGCAGTGCTTACGTGTAAAGAACTGTGATCTTCTGTAAGGAAATGACATTAGTGCATGAAAAAAGCCAACCAGAAAACACTTAGCAATGTGTTTTCATGTTTAAAACATTCTGCTAATGTGGATTACATCTTTCAACATGCCCTGGAGCCAGATAGAAATTGGGAATTCATCATAATCAGCGGATACTGCTGCTAGGCTGCTAGGAAAATCCTCAGTGCTTGCATTTTATCATCATCAACCTGGAGCCTCCGAGTTCTGCACCGTGAGGTACACTCCCTGCTCTCTTCTCTTGAGATGATGTATGACTTGCGGCCCAGTGAGAAAAGAGCTGAACAGTGCTCTTCATGAGGATCTGAAGTAACGCCTCATCCCAAATAAGCCAGTCCCACCTCTTGCTCTGAAGAGGCTGGAGAGGGAACAGCACTTTGCAGGCTATTAATCTTCTGAGTAGCAGCAAAGAGTAAGTGACAGTCCAGAAATTGGATCTCAAATGTAACAGTAGGTGTGGGGCTCAGTGGTCAAACCTGTGTCTAGCACATTGGTGGTGCTCTGGGGTGTCCAAGACACACATCCAAGGCCGGCAGACATGATGCAGGAACTACTACTGGAGACCTTCTGGAGAAGCAGCAGAAAGACAGAAGGGTATCCCTGGTCTTCTAAAATGACATTATACACCTCCACGTAGTACCTGAATCCTGCTCTGTGTTGCGGCCAACAATACTCTTTAATAAAGGCTGGGACATCTTGTGGTTGAGAAAGAACACTGATGCAATGCTATTCATTAACAGCTTTACTGCCAATGTTGGGACACTTCCCAAATGGCACAAGGGCACCCGGAGGCAGGATTCTGTAAGGTGTCCTCATTTGCCATCTCACTGACACCAAGAAGTGCCTCAGTCTCCCCTTCCCTCCGCTCCAGCCCCCATGGAAATGCAGTTGCCGGTGCAGAGGGGAGCTGCGGTGTCTCCCAAGATGCTCTGTATGGCTGACTGAAGAAACAGGGCCTGAGCTGGTGCTTGCCCCCAAGAAAAAGGTCACACTGCTGCAGCTGGAGCAGGTCAGTGTCCGGTGTGATCACCGTGCAGCCAAGCCGCACTGGCACAGTGGCTCAGGAGCCCTTTGCATTGCCCGCTGCTGCTGGCCAACCGCAAACAAAGGGAGACCATTAACCAAAAGGTTTTTAAAAGGTGAAGGGGATTCAGGTGCTGTCCCGGACACACTGTTTGCTCCCTGAGATCAGCTTATATCCACCTTCATGTGAAGCTTCCATCTGGGGTTTTACAGCCTCCAGACCACCTTCTGCATGTTCAGCGGGCACCATTGCAAGAGGGGCAATGCATAAGCAGGTCTGTTTTGGCTAAGTGAAAACAAAAAGCTATTTTTACTGCCCCAGGGCTTACTTGTAGAGGCCAATGTCTCTCACGGGAAGTCTCACAGCTCGACAAAATAGTGCTCTAAACCAGTCCAACCTCTCAGCCCCACCACGTCCGGGGAAATCCTTTCCTGGAGGTAATGCAATTCACCCTTCAGATGAGCTTAACGCTCAGCCCCTCCTGGGAAGAAGCTGCCAATTGCTCCAGAAGCATGAAGACAGGCTTTTGCAAAGTGGATTACTGTCCACCAGGGACACGAAACACACTGCCCTCCTCCCCTCCTCCTTGCTATTGCATGCCGAATTGCAGCCAGCATTGCCAACGCTTTCAACTGCAGCTCTTACCTGCAAGGCTTCCAGAAACCTGAAAGAGCCCAGCCTGCGGCCACGGGGAACCAGACAGAAAGTGGCATTGTGCAGCATTTCACGGTAATCATACCTAACAAGAACAGGGGAGAAAAGAGAAAATTCAATTAGTGGTGAGTCCTAGAGTAACTGTGCATGAAAATGCAAACAGCTGTTGAGACACATCTGGATACAATCATCCCCAACCAAGACCGCTCATCACCAGGTTAACTAGCTCCTTCCATGCACACGTGTGTCAGCCATCTCCCTGCTCCTTTTTGTTCATCCTAAGGAGCAACCACCAAGGGAGAGAGCTGGGGAGAGTGCTGATGAAACTGAGAATGAAGGAAATCACTTTGCCTTTGCAATAATTGGCCATTTCTATATAAACAGGCATGTACAAGTTCTAACATAAGCTTATATTAAATATTTTGATACAGAAAGCATTGTTGCAGCACTTCTGTGACCCGGATTTCTATTCAGATTTAGTCAATGTTACGCACAACTGTGTTCATTTCCGCATAGGAGGTTTGTACAGAGTGAAAAATATTCAAACTATGCCAAAGAAATCTTTGCTTATCAAGGAGGTGCTAAAAAAGGGATGGGGGAAGGGGGGCAACAATGACTCACTTGCTGGTTACTGTCAAGTGTGGTGAGAGACAAACCGCCAAATTTTGGCAATTAACCACACAGCTGCAATGACCCCTGCTCCTCTGAATTAAAACCTTTTAGTGCTTATAGACACTCTTGGGTTTTTTTTTTTCAATTCCATCGGTCACCTCGAAACCATTTACCAAAAACGCACATCAAATCCCAACAGTTTCCAGACTGTTATTAGATAATCGTAGTTCTGGCGAACCCAGGGAACTGAGAATGGCACTGACCTCGCCTGGGACAAAAGGATCCAGATTAAACACCCTCCATTCTCCAGAGTGCCCTGGCCTCTGCAGACATACATTATTTTGACAGTAACTTATGGCACTGAAATTTTCTAACACTAATAATCTAATTTAACCATAGCCTGCAGGCAGAGCAAGTTTTTGTGTTATGTGTGTATATGTGTATGCATATACATATGTATATGGTTATATTTTATATATAAAAAAGTCAGGATCTACATTTGTATTCTCACACAGGCCAGACAGATGGGAGTAAGCCAATTTTCAATATAAGCTCCGTCCTTCGGAAGAGACATCTTGCAAAGGCCCATTTGCTTAAACAAGCGTGTATAGCTAATTTGCACAAGAAAAGGTCACTGTGAATGGATTAAGATTATCTTCACTGAGAGTAAAATAAAAACCCTTGTTGCATTAATTAAAACTACAAAACAGACTTCAAAGTACATTTTTTTTTTTAAATCGTATCTCAACTATGGTTAAAATACATATATACATATTCCATCTGAGTGGCAGCAATTTCTTTTTCTCTGTGCAGGATATTGATCGGCAGCCGTGTCCCAGCTCACCAGCCAGCAGTGACACAGCACACAGGGGAAAATCCCACGAAACGGGAACCCCAAAAAAAAAAAAAAAAAAAAAAATTGCCATTTTTAAGCATTCCTTTTTTACATACCAAGAGGTCTGAGACTCATCACTTTCACTGTATATTGTATGACAGAAAATGTTAATAAATACCAAAAATAGAATACCCTGTAGGGCTAGAATACGCCAGTCATAAGTCCCCCATCATTAGCTAGCTAAAAATGTAAAATCCTGATAATACCCCTGAATGCAACAACATCCACAAAATGTTGATGGCAGAACCAGAAAACAAAGACAAGCTGAGAATGAGGCCAGTGCAAGTGAGTCCTCCATATGCCAGCGACATCTTATACTGGGGATCTTTTCTTTCCTATCTAATTTGCTGATATTAGGATAGATTTACAAAGGAAAAAAAAAAAAAAGAACAGGATTTTGTTGACCATTTCCCACCTAGAAAACAGCGTCTTGCTCCCATTTGTGTGTTTTAAAGCCTAATGTGTGATTTACTGCTGAGCTCTGGCACAGCACAGTTCATGGTCATCAAGCAATTTATCTATATCATATGTACACAGGGAGCCTCATCCTAACCTTGATGTATGGGCACAAAATTTCCACTCACTTCAGGGAGAACCTGCAAACACAACATGAGCAGACACAGAGTAAAGCAATATCCATCGAGAGATGCTGCAGTAGATTAATTGCACCAGAGGTTCATGAACAAATCTCTCTGCAATTTCAACCCAAATGTTTTAAAGGTGACTCAACACAATCTTTGAGTGCTCAGTGACCACTCCATCTATCTGAAATCCTTAAACACAAGGTGCTAATTTTAATGTACTACTTCATGGGTAGAACACAATGTCACAGGGGTACCCTGCCTTAGCTGAAATATAAAAGATAACCCCTCTATGTTTAAATATTAATTCAGAAACGCCTTTCACACAACACATGTAGTCAGCCACAAATACAAAACCATCTCTGTCATAGCATTGTAATTTGAAGCATCGTTTGCGGAGGAAATTGTTTACATGTACCAAATATTACCTTAGATTCAAGTTTGCAGCAGAGACTATTTCATGCTTTTCTCAGACTGACAGACAGCATTTGGAGGAGACCTTGGCTACAAAATCGTCACCTGGTTAACGAAGCTCCAGCCCACAAGCCATGGGGGGGACAGATGGCGTCAGGGCAACCCTCAGTTCCAGACTCCTTCCCATCCAGCCCCGCAGGAACCATGCATGCAGCAGGTTTGAGCTTTGCCAGTGTTTTGTCAGGGAGGGAAAATTGCTTATGTATGATTGGCATTTCTTTTTTACACATAGGAAGCATACATGTCTCACCTGAAAGCATCCCTGCACTTCCTTTAACTCTGGCTTGAAATGCTTTCAGTGAAGTCAGTGAGATAATCTCTATGACTAGAGGTAGGTATCTGAGTTAAATCTTTGCTTGAAATTTCTCTTTCAGTTGTGCAGGAGAGAAATCGGAGCTGGCACAGACACCCAGGAACACCCTCTCAGCTACAGCAGGACACTTGTACATTAAGCACCGATCTGGCATCTATTGCAAATACCAGTACTGCATCAATAACAGGCTTCATTTCCCCACCGTCCTCACTGACTGACTCACCAAGACCTCGGGAAGGCAATGAAGCATTATAACCCCGCTCACAACTGGCAGAGGGGCCTTAAATTACAGGGAAAATAGTCAAGTGTTTAGAAGAGGTTCTTCCAGAGCCTCCTCTTCATCTTCTCCCCTGGCAATGGGGGTTGCATCTGTTTCCAGAACTACTTATTCCCATTAGCCAGTAACATCTGAGGATGGCAGGGAGATAAGTTACGGTCCTCCAGCTTGCATCGCTGTGGTTTCTGCAAACCCGGAGCTGCAGCTTGTGGGGACAGCTCTGCGTTACCTGCCTATCCAGGCGCTCTGGTTTCACCCGGCCACGGAGGTTTTTTAGGTTCCACTTGCAGCTGAGGCACTGGAACACCACCTGTGCGCCACAACCAAGCCGTGGGCTGAAGGGCGGCAGGGCTGCCTTTTTTCGCGGGCCCCCAGGCGGGTGCCCGCCCAGCGCTCCTTCCTTACTGCTGCTGCCCCCGTGCCACGCTCCTTCTGGCACTTTCCTTTCCTTCGCTGCTGCCGGCAGTTAATCCTCGCGAGCATTTACTGTAGGAAAGCTTTGAGAGGAGGCCACTGCTTTGTTCAGAGGGTATTTACTTCCAGAAAGCTCCTGGTTTGAGCACTAGAAGACTGCTGGGGGCGGGGGAGCACATGCTGGTTGCTCCTATTCCTGTATTCCTTCATTCCGCACGCTCGCATGGAGGTAACGCTTTACTGCGAATTTTAGGGTCGGCTTGGCCTGGGCCTCAGCTGCATCATTCAAACATGTCAAAATCCAAAATGCATATGCCTTTAAAATGACAGTTGGGGCTTTATAACTAAAATAGCCACAGATTTAACCCAAAGCTCACGTCTCTCTGTAAGGATCAGCAGTGCGTTTATTAACTTTCAGGCTTCCTTCCATAACGATTAAGTGCACCATGTTCACAGCTAGTACCTTTTTAGGCAGCATAAACAAATAGCTCTATTTGTAATCAATTCTAATTTATTCACACTTTAATTGAAATATCCCCTCCCTGCTATCACCCATAGCTGAGAAAACACGTTTGGCCCTATCTATCACGCAGGTGTAAACACTGCAACGCCGCATGGGCAATTATCCGAAGCAGAAATACTGCTCAGCCAAATGCTCTTACCATTTTAACTTCCTGATCCAACACATTGCTTCTGTCTTTCCCCATCCCCCCCCCTTTTTTCCTTCTGATGTGCCGACCTTGTCAGTCAGCACAGGGATTAGAGGGCTGCTTGGGATTCCTGGGTCACCGTTACCCCAAGGAGCCCGGGCAGGCTGCAGGGGCTCTGCAGTGGCTAATCAGCCATGCCACACATTCCTTCTTACAGCTTAAACATTTCCCCATGTCACTACACTTAAGAGATTACAAACTACCCCGAGAAACCTTTTCACTACCAATTTTAATGTAGACTATTTTTTTCCAAAGCCACATCTTCATCACCATTGATTGAAGAGAGGTCTAAAAAGACATCGGCTGTTTAGACCAGCAGATACGTCCAGCTACCCAGATTTAATGATTATCATACTTTATCCAGCTGTATGTCACTTGTCACGTAGGAATCACAAAGCACAGTACATATTTTCTTATCTAATCCTCTGAACATTGATACGGGATACCATCACCATCCCCCTTTCACAGATGGAAAACCTGAGATACAGGTGACTGGTGGCTTCTCCAGAAACTAGACAGACCTTAGGAATGCTAACCCCAGCATCCTTCCCTCTTCTCCAGTGATACATCACTCAACGAAAACCAGCCGTATGCTATGGCTATCAAAATTCAGATGCAAATATAGGAACAGAACCCAAACCAAATGCAACGGGGTTAACCCAGGAGTATATATTTTAATAGTGCCACACATAATCCATCTTTTGGAAGATGCTGGATCTCATCTTTGGCGGTGAGTATCATCACATACCACCGTAGATGTCAGATGGGACCAGAGCTATTTATTTTATTTCCTGAGACAAAAATTGCAA